GCCGTGTACTAGTTGGGTTTTTTTTTCCCCTCTCAATCTACAGTATTGCTTGGAGGCAAATTACTTTTTTAATTCTTTTAAAAATTTATTTTGAGGGCCAGGGATTTAGCTCAGTGGTTCTGCCACCTGCCTCGCAAGCACAAAGACCTGAATTCGATCCCCGGTACCAAAAAAAAAATTTTTTTTAATTAAAAATTTATTTTGAGACAATCTCACTAAATTTCCCAGGCAGAATTTGAACTTATGATCCTCCTGCCTCAGCCTCCTACAATGTTGGGATAATAGGCATGTGCCATTATACCCAGCTGTTGTTCTGTAGAATTTGAAGTAGTCAATAAAAGAAGAAGAAATGTTTATCATCCCCATGTCTAAAGAATACCACTGCGAACTTTATGGTAATCAACAGTGCATTTTCTTCTGGTACAGAAAATCTGCATCCTCGGTATAACCCTTGTGTGAAACCAAGACTGTCACATGAAAACAATTCAGTACAGAGTTTGTTCAGTTATTCATTCAGTGCCTTGGAGGAATGTCCAGAATCATGCTAAGCTAATCCAGAGTGTATTTTAGTTTATTTTAGGATATCATCAAATAAAAGTCATCAAAATGCAGAGCATTTCATTACAGTGAGAAAAGTAATTGATACAAGCATAGATGTCAGGCTTTTGGGTGGAGCAAGGTTATATCTTTTTTTTTTTTTGGTACGGGGATCAAACTCGGGACCTTGTGCTTCTGAAGCAGGCAGCAGAACCACTGAGCTAAATACCTGGCCCTATCTTATTATTTTTTTAAATTTTTATTTTATTGGTACATTTTAGGTATACAATATAATGATATTCATCATTGGAAATTTGCACCTTTACATAACCTCTCTTGGTTCTTATTTTTCCCCCTTCCCCTGCCCTCCCTTCAACCCCTCCATCCCTCCCTATTTACAAAGACTTTGTTTCTATTTTTTCATTTTCTCATATTAATTCCATTCCCTTCTTTCCTTTCTCCAATGTCTCCCACTTCCCCTTCCCCTTTGCCCCTTTTCTTCCTATTTCACATTATCTATTATACCTTTTAGTCCTTATATCTTTTTGTTCTTTTTTTGTTGTTGTTCTTTATAGAGATTAAAAGTTAAAATTCACCACAAGAAAAATTTTTACCATCTCAGTACAATGAAGTTCCTAAAAAGCATTTCAGCCCAGCATGGTGGTGCATGCCTGTAATCTCAGTAGCTGGCAGGCTGAGGGAGGAGAATTGCCATGAGTTTGAGGCCAGCCTGAACTACATAGCAAGACCCTGTCTCAAAAAACCAAAAAAAAAAGCATTTTTCTTAGCACTCATTTTTCATTTTTGTGACCAAGACTAAAAGAAAAAAAAAAAGCAGCTAGGAACTACAGTGTAGTAACTCAATTGGTCAGTGTGGTTAGCCTCTGGAGAGTGACATGAAAAGACCGTTGAAGATCTGGTTCATGTTCTGTGGTTACAAATCTAGGGGCAAGAGCTTCCCTCTTCCTTTGTGCCTGGTAAGCTCAAATAGATGGCAGGTATGTGAGTGTAATTTGGGGACCTGTGTTTTGGGGAGAAGGAAGTAGGACTGCAGTTGGGCTGTGCAGCCCAGGAAATGCTGTTGCCGAGTTTGGGGCCACAGGGAGCTCAGCAGGCTGAGGCACTGGAACTGGAATCAACCAGCAAGTTATTCTGGGGACATCCCAAGCTACCTAGTGCCCCAGGACAGGGTATAAAAAGAGACACAGGGCCGGGGATTTAGCTCAGTGGTTTCGCCGCCTGCTGCGCAAGCTCAAGGACCCAAGTTCAATCCCTGGTACCAAAAAATAAAAAATAAATAAAGGGAGACACAGAGAGTCACACTGAATTGCCAAGGCAGGATGTGGCTGCCTCCCTTCTCCAGATGGGAGGGGACAAGGAATTGATCTTTTAAATTCCTCCTTGCAACTCCCCAACTGCCACCCTGTCCACAGCAATTATTTACTAATTTTTAATTTAATAAAATAATCAACTGAAGATACAAAAAGTAATTGTGGAATAGCATTATGAGTGTGTCCTAGAAAAAGAGGTAAGATTTAAGAAGCCAATAAGGACAACTTCCATTGATTTCTTTTTTGTTTATTTGTTTGTTTGTTTGTTTTGGTACCTGGGATCAAACTCACGACCTTACTGCTTGTGAGGCGGGCAGGCAAGGTGCCACTGAGCTAAATCCCCCACCCCCTTTGATTTCTTTTGAAGGATATCATTCCTCCTACTCCTTTGTCATTCCTGTTCCCTTAGGGTCTGAAAATTTCCCGGAGTGGTTTGTTTCCAACACTTTGACCCCTGTGAAAATACTCCAAGACAAACAGCATATTCCCATTCCCATCACTTGCATCAGTGATATTCAGCATTTGGCTCTTCCATTGGCTCTTCAAAGCCCTACACATTTTGGAATTGGGATTTCATCTTCTAGACTCAAGGTGGCAGTTGTTATGGTAGTACTGGGGATTGAATCTAGGGCTCTAAACTACAGCCCTACCTCCTTTTTTAAAATTTATTTTGAAAGACAGGGTCTCACTAAGTGGCCAGGCTTGATTTGAACTTGTGATCCTCCTACCTCAGCCTCCCAAGTAGTGAGAATTACAGGTGTGAACTACCACACTTAGTTTGGATTTATTTTATTTTTTTATTTTTTATTTTTGGTACCGAGGATCCTACTTGGGACCTTGTAATTGTGAGGCAGGCAGCAGAACCACTGAGCTAAATCCCCGGCCCTGCATTTAATTTTTTTTTAGGGGATTTTTAGCAGCAGAACTGAGTAGAAAGATCAGAAATTTCATACATCATCTCTGCTCTTGTTTATCTTCTCAAATTAGGGACCATGGTGAGGGAGCTCCTCCTCTCCTCTTCCAGGCCAAGATTAAAACATTAAGTTCCTGGTCGGGGATTTAGCTCAGTGGTTTCGCCACCTGCTGCGCAAGCAAGCGCAAGGACCCGAGTTCGATCCCCGGTACCAAACAAAACAAAAAAAAACAAAAAACATTAAGTTCCCCAACTTCTAGATACCTGGGAAGGTGTCTGGAATAGAATCATTGAGAGTTTTAGAGGCAGGATCCTGCTTTTAAAGAAACTGTATGGTTTCAGTGACCACAAGGGAGGAGCTAGGGAAGCAGCTGGTGGGCTGGGAGGGGCCTCTGTCCCACAGACCCCGTCCATGGGCACCGTGGGGGCTGCTCCCCAGGGACCAGAGGTGTGGAGGTACCTTCCTGTTGGGTCCACAGTCTCCCCACCCACTTCAGGAGAGTAGGAAGGGGATGGGAGATTGTGAGGTATTTGCCCTGGGCCCTTCCCAGCTGTGTGACTAGAGGCCAGTATTGGAACCCTTCTGGATTTGCTTGTTTCCCACATGAGTATGTTGTGACCTACATGGTATCTTTTTTTTTTTTTTGAGACGGGGTTTCCTTATGTAGTTCAGGCTGGGGTTGAACTGGCAGCGATATCCTCCTGCCTCAGCCTCCCAGAGCATTGGGATTACAGGTGTGTGCCACCCTGCCTGGCTTCTAGACTGTATCTAAAGTCCCTTCTATTCTAGAAATTAAAAAAAAGAATACAAGCATCATCCTTTTTTTTTTTTTTTTTTTTGGTACCGGGTATTGAACTCAGGACCTTGCGCTTTCGAGGCAGGTGGTGGAACCACTGAGCTAAATCCCCAGCCCATAAGCATCATCCTTTAAGCCACCAGAAACATGATCTACTTGCTGTTCAGTTTTTCAGTGCAGTACTTAGTTCAGACTCAAGACCTTCTCCAGAAAGAGCTAAGAAAAAGTTCCAGAGGCTCCCTAGTGGTGGAATCTTTAACTTGGGGATTTAAAAAATACATGAGCTGTCTTGTGTGGTGGTGCATACCTATGATCCCACCATTTGGGAGGCTGAGGCAGGAGGATCTCTGAACTCATAGTGAGATCAAGGACAGCCTGAACTACATATAGAGACCCTCAAGAAACAAAAAGCCGAAATAAACAAATAAAAGAAATGAGCCTTGGAGCCGTCCCTCTGAGCAGTTTTGTTGTGCTACTCTTGGTATCTCTTCTGAAAACCTCAGTGCATCCTGAACAAATTATGATCCTGGGAAGACTCAAGTGCTCTCAACAGATTCCCCTCCTAAGACCACCCAGAAACCAGTAATTAGTGAAAAGTGAGGTTTGTGTTGCTTTCGGGGGTTACTGTATTACACAACAAGGAATTGATTTGCTGCGTCCCAGGGTCTTAGTCTATTTTCTGTTGCTATAACTGTATACCTGAGACCAGGTAATTTGTAAGGAGAAGAAATTTATTTCTTCGAGTTCTGGAGAGTGGGGAACCGAGGAGCTGGGCCTGGCGACTGCTCTGTGACTGGGAGGGGCTCTTCTGCACCAGAGCAGAGTGGAGGGCGCCACATGGCCAGACACAAAGCTGCCGGCCTGGGTCTCTCTCCCTCTTCTCCAGTGCCATCAGGGGTGTCCTTTCCGGGTGACCTCATATTACCCCAATCACTTCTCAAGACCCAACCTCCAGGCACCATCAACATGTGACTTTGGAGATTTATGTTTGCAGCACATGGGCTTTTGGGGGGCACATCCAAACCACGGCACAGGGTGCTCATTAGGAAATAAAGGTGCCTGTTTTATGGGCGACTCAACTAACTGTGAAGTAAAGGAGATGCGATTTCAGATTGCCTGGTAAACGATGGACTAAGTTTGGAATAGAATTTGGTTTTTGAAATTCTGGAAACCAGGCCAGGGATTTAGCTCAGCAGCACCGCACCTGCCTGGCAAACGAAAGGTCCTGAGTTCGATCCCCGGTACCAAAAGAAAAAAATTCTGGAAACCATGCACATGAGAGGCTGAGGTTTAGGGAGAGGCCAAAGTCCTCCTTAGTTAAGAGAGGAAGTGTGGGACAAGAGGATGGTCCCCAGCCTAGAGGGGCGCTGCCAACGCAGCCCCCACACTGTGATATTTGCTTTCACGGCCTCCTCTTCCTAGGTGCCCTCACTTCCTCAGGACTCCAGCAATGGAGGTGTGAAGAACAAGGAGCTGGCATTGCTCAGGTGGTAAGTTGGGGAGAAAGGTTCAGGCCCAGGCCTGGCTGCTTCGTGCATTCCTCCTGCTCCTCCACAAATTGAGGAGAGGACCTGGGAACTAAGCTTGAAAGAGGGCTATTTGGGCAAAGAAACCATCAGCTGTCAGTAACAGAAGAGCTAATACCAGTGAACGCTGCAAGTTTTTTTATGCCAAGATGTATTTCATGCAAGAATGAAGGATAGATTTTCTTTAGAACTAACCCTACTGCAGAGAGCAACGTGCAGATGCAAATGGGTTGCAGATCCATCCTCCACAGCTGGCCTGTGTGCAGGGCAGCCATCGTCCTCCCATCTACCCTGTCCATCCCACCAGTTTCCCGCTGGACAAGGTCCACAATTCTTCTGTCCAGTCCAGAGGCCCCAGCAGCCCTTCCACGCTGTGACCACATCCCAAGCTGGACTAGGTCTTGGCTGATGAGCAGTCAAGGCCCTGAGCCGAGTACAGCCTCAGATGAGCTGGCACAAAGTTCTGCCCAGCCGGTGCAGCCCGGCACAGGGCACCTGTCTGCCAGAACAGCAGCCCGAAGCCCTCCTCTGGGGAGAGTCTGACAGATGCTATAGGTCGCTGAGGTAAAGGTTGCATGAGCTTCAACTGGCTTTGAAAGGGAGATGCTAGACACTCTCCGAAGCCCATAGATGTTCTGGGTGTGGAACTGAAGAAGCAGGCCCTGGTCGTGGAGCAGCAACACTGTGCTGATATTTCCTAGGGTACAGCTCACTGGCCAAAGTGAAAAAGATCTGGACTGGGGGCGGGGTGGGGGTTAAGTTCAAAAATGGCCTTGGGGTACCGGATGTGGTGCTGCTGGAGGTTTCTGTAGAGGCAGCTCCCTGGAGATCTGAAGTCTGATACGATGCCTACTGAGACTGCCACTCACTGGCAAGCTCCAACGAATTAGCTTAGCTACATCCTGCTGGGAAAACTTCTCACTGCTGTGTCTGCTTCTAAAAATGCCTGAAGCACCCACAGAAAGAGATACAGGCTTTCTTTCATCTGCAGTACCCGCAGGCCCAACAGCACCATGATGCTCCTGCAAAAGCTTTTTGAAGATCACCACGACCTACAATCAGGGAGGCTGAGGCAGGAGGATTGCAAATTCAAGCTCAACCTGGGGAATTTAGCAAGAACCTGTCTCAGAATAAAAAAATGGGCTGGGGATGTAGCTCAGTGCAAAGGCCTTGGGTTCAATCCCCAGTACTTAAAAAAAAAAAATCACCATGATCCAGAGAAAGAAAAAAATGAAAAATCCAGATGAGAAAAGTCCCTCAAGTGATCATTTTCAAGCACAAGTTCTAATCAGCTGACAGGCTTTGCAGGAAACCTTTGTTTTTTTTTGTACCGGGGATTGAACTCAGGACGTCGCACTTGCAAGGAAGGCGGTAGAACCACTGAACTAAATTCCCGGGTGCAGGAAACCTATTGAAGCTATTGACAGGAACTGTTGTTTTGGTACCAGGGTTTTAAATTGATGGGTAGGACAAAAAGAGACCAAAGACAAGCTCTGACGTTTCAAGCTGAAACCAATACTGTACTCCACAGCGGGGAGCTTGCTGGGTTTGTGTCTGGAGTCGGTGCTGTGCTCCGAGGAGGCCCTAGGGTGCAGGACCCACTTCTGGCTAGGTCGGAAGAGAGCCACATGTGCACCCTTTCTGCCCTTATACCACTGCTGCTCAGGGTTAGATTCTAGAGGCTGTTCTTAGCCGGAAACAGTGAGGAATCCGCAGGAAGTCCACAACAAGGGAAGGGAAACCCCGCCCTTGCATGTAATGACCGGCAAGGGAACATAAAATGGAAAGTGGAATGTGTGCTCTAACGTGTGGGGGGCTGCAGGGACCAGTGTGTGGAAGGGAGAATGGATACGTCTTCAAAAACGGGGAGGGGGCCGGGGATTTAGCTCAGTGGTTTTGCAGCCTGCTGCGCAAGGGCAAGGACCGGAGTTCGATCCCCGGTACAAAAAAAGGGGTGGGTGGGTGTGGGTGTCCCCGGCGGGGGGTGTCCCCGGGGGGGGGTGTCCCCGGGGGGGGGGTGTCCCCAGGGCGAGGATATGTGCCAGACCACTTTATTTACTATGTGACTGCAGTGTGGAGCCAGATCCTCCAGAAATCCGTACTCTAGCAGGGAAAAACGCTATCCTTTCTAGACAGGGAGGGGTGGTTTGTGTCTTTTCACATCCAGTAGCTCACTGAGAGGAAAACTCCCCCTTGTTCCTGATTTCAAGGCCAAAAGACCCAAAAACAAGTTGAAAAATTTTACCAGGAGAAAAAAGATAAAAGTATGCCTGGCATCACATCATAAGAAAGTCGATGTGAAGGAGCTGAGGAATGCAAAATAACTTTTCAGTTTTATGAAGTTTTTTTTTTTTTGTAACCAACAAATGTTCACCGTAGTTTTGAGGTGGAGGGAGAGCCAGTAATCCAATGAAAAAATTGAATCCAAGAAGAAACGAATGGGACAATTGTTTCTGCTAGATGAGAACTCAAGAGTAGAAGTTTCACTTCTCTAGCTTGGCACAGTGAGTTAGGCCACTCCTTGTGAAAAATAAAAATTAACAACATTTTGTCTCCCTTTATCTCATCAGTAATGCAGTGGACTCTTCAGGTTAGCCATCCTATGTTTAGATTGTTACCTGAAGAAAAGAAAAACAGACTGTCCTGAATGCTGATTCTACTGTTTTGATGGGGGAAGAGAAATTCTAACAGATAAATGGCAAACAACAACACTTTTGAGAAAGCAGGTCTGAGGAAGAGTCCAGTACAGTCTCATAATGGGTATGAATAGTTATTTTTGCTGCTTTCCTTTTCTTTTGCTCTGGGTTTTGATGTGGATCTCTTTCTATTTGTTCAGGAAATTGTGACGTGTGTTCTGGGCAGGGTTGAGGTTTTGGAACCTTTTCTAAAAGGGACAGAGAGAGCCCTGCAGCATTTCTTAACTGTGAGGCTGGTGTGCTGGAGAGAGTGGGTCGTCATGCAGGCTGTGCTCACATGCGGTAGGCTGGTCCTGGCCCTCACCCTCATCCTGGTTTTGGGATCTGCAGTGGAAGGTAAGACCCAGGAATTGTGTTCCCTGTCATCTTTGCTGTAAGCCCAGAGTCCACGCAAGTGATTGTTTTCATTTTAAAGCCCAGAACGTACCCTCTTATTGAAAAGGAGGCAAAGAAGAAGGCTTTAGGGTGGTTGGAACCCCTAGCGTGAATTCAACTAAGCAGGTGTCACCTTGCAGAGTTTTTTTTTTTTTAATTAAAAAAATTTTTTTGGTACCGGGGATCGAACTCGGGTCCTTGTGCTTGTGCAGCAGGTGGCGAAACCACTGAGCTAAATCCCTGGCAACCTTGCAGACTTTTACAGTGATTGAAAAGTGCTGCTTTATTTTTGGATGAAAATGTGTGTTTTATAAATTTTAAAGTCTCAAGAAGAGAGTAATGAAAATCATTCATGTGTTGCTGCATGAAGATGGATGGCACCTTAGAGTACTTGGGGTATCTTCTTACATCTGAAAGTCTACATCAATTCCAGTTTTTAAAACTATATTTTTTCAATTTTTTACTAGTACACATTTGCAGTACATAATCACTACATTCCTCATGGGGAGTTGGTACCTGTACATAACACATCTTCATTTATCAATCCCAAGTTTGAGTGCACTGTGGTAGTGCCCTTACTGCAACACTAGAAGATGTTATTTTTTAATTGGAATAAATTTGATTGGGTGTATTTTTTCTTTTTTACTTTTTTTTTTGGTACTGGGGATTGAACTTGGGACCTTGCACTTGCGAGGCAGGCGGTGGAACCACTGAGCTAAATCCCGGCCCTATTTTTTTTTTAAAGTTGGATCTTACTGAAGATTCAATTGTGGTTAGACATAGTTAATACAGCCTTTTCAGATTTTAAAGAAAGCCCAAAGAATGTTAGTATTTGTGCTATTACCCAGAGAAACATCACATTTGCAAAATGTCTTTTTAAGTTTCTCTATCATTCAGGGCTCTTTAGTCAGGCTGAAACAACTTAAAAGACCTTTATTCACTAACAAAATAAAACATCACTTTGTAAGAAAAATATAATATTTTCTCTTTTGGTAAATAAAGAACCCTGTCTTAATAAGACAGAAGGTCATGGCCTGATAGATGGTAGAATTTACAGAAGAAAAAATGTTAAGGTCCACAAATGGTAAAGGAAATGTTGAGTCACAGTGACATATGTGTCCTGGATTTGTTTCTTCGAAGTGACTTCTAGCTGTCACATTCTTACTTCCGGCGGCAATGAAATCTCACAGATGAGCTCAGAAAAATTCCTTCTATATTGAAAATTGAAAAAATATCATTTTATTCTAGTTATGCTAACATTGGAGAAAAAACAGCAGGTTGCTGAAACATTTCCATTCACCTACTTAGAGAGAACATAGAGAACAAGCTTTACTGGGACCATTAGGGGAAAATCTCCAGCTTGCTGCAAGGATTTCCTAATAATTGTGTGCTGTGACATGGTTGAGAGCAGTGAGGCCCATGTTCGTGACCAGTTGGTGCTCCCAACCTGAGCTAAGAAAGTCTTTAGGGTTTCAAAATTTCCCCAAAATGTTTCGTTCTGCATTGACTTAATAGGTTAAGACTAGAATGAAAACAAAACCTTTCCTTGTGCATACACTCATTAGAAAGAGAGGAAGAGAGAAACAATCATGAAACTGTAGAAAATCCTAGAATTTATGTCATCACCTGGTAAATTGAGCTCTTTGTTGGAAAAGGGAACCAGAAAGTAGACAGCAAGTAATCTGAAAATGAGGGAATCCCCAAAGGCACTTGGCACTGGGCTCAAGGCCCTGTGCTCACTTTTGAAGGTGAAGGGAAATAAATGTTAGTGACAGCAGCAAAAGGCAGTGATATGAAGTGTCATGATACCATTCCTTCATACCCCGTAGTATTCTCCCACTACCTTTTAAAAAATATTTTTAAAGAGAGAAAATGTCTGCTTATCTCACTGATTTGACTGATCATGTTAGCTGGGCTTGCTTTTACTGAGCATACTCAAGCCTTCTTAGGTTACGGCACTAGTTTCCTTGGGCAACCAAAACAAAGTACTTCCCACTGGGTGGCTTAAACAGCCCTTTCCTCTGGAGACCAGATCAAAGACCCAGGCCTGGAAGGTTGGTTTCATCTGAGGCCTTTCTCCTTAGCTTATAGGTGATGCTTTCTTCCTTTGTCTATGCCTTCAACAGCTCTCTGCAAATAACATCACATGATGAGGTCCTGTAGGTTAGGACTTAAGTGTTCAAATTTTGCAGTGGACATAATTCAGCCTTTAACATACTTGTTTTTACAAACCCAAGTAAAGACACGATGTACAGCTGTGTCTACAGAGAGCCAAGAAATGGGAGTTTGGCGATGGCTGGCAGGTGGTGGAGGACACAGTTGGCTAATCAACTTAATGTGGGCTTCAGGAGATTACCCATGTGGCCTGTGAATCCTACACCATATTGCCTCTCTTTCTCAAAGATGCCCAGAAAGAGATAAAGTGGAAATTCCATGAGCAGGTGTGGCCCAGGGGCCTGGGCTAGCTGGTGTGTTCATGCCACACTGTCTCCTAGATCACAGTAATGGAATTGATTCCACTCATATGTGTGGGCGTTTGTAAAGTGCTTCACATCCATTCTCTGTGGTCACGATTGTCCCATTTCCTATGAGGAGGAATTAGTGCCAGCTGATAGAGAAAAGAACTAGATCATCTCAGTTTGTTCTTTTTTGTTTTGCTTTGTTTTTTGGGGGTTTTTTGCTTTTTTTTTTTTTGGTAGCAGGGATTGAACTCGGGTCCTTGCACTTGCAAGCCAGGCGGCATAACCACTGAGCTAAATCCCCGGCCCCTGTTTTTGTTTTTTGAGACATGATGTAGTTCAGGCTGGCCTTGAACTCACTATGTAGCCCAGGCTGGCCTTGAATTCGCTGAGTGATCTTTCTGCCTCACCCTCTCCAGTGCTGGGAAGATAGGCTTGTGCCACTACACTGGCTATCTCATTTGTTCTTTACGTCAGTGTCTTGCAAAAATGTGTTTTGTCCAAGGCCCATTATAACTAACAAACAGCAGAAGAACTAGTTATCCAATTTCAAGGTCAAAATTAAATTTCTACTGCAATTTCTAGATTAGTGGTTTTTTTGTTTCGTTTTTTGGTACCTGGGATCGAACTTGGGTCCTTGCGCTTGTTCAGCAGGTACCGAAACCACTGAGCTAAATCCCTGGCCCATTTGTTTTTGTTTTGTTTTGTTTTGTTTAATAAGAAATGCCAAACTGTTTTCTACAACAGAGATACTATTTTACATTCTTTGTTTGTTTTTTGGTACCGGGGATTGAACTTGGGTCCTTGTGCTTGTGAGGCAGGTGGTGGAACCACTGAGCTAAATCCCCAGCCCCATTTGTTTTTTTGGGTTTTTTGGTACCGGGGATTGAACTTGGGTCCTTGAACTTGTGCAACAGGTGGCGAAACCACTGAGCTAAATCCCCGGCCCTGGTTTTTTTTTTAACTAAAACAAAAAAACCTTCTTTTGACTACAACCCTTGCTATTATGTTTACTACTCAGTACTGAGTTAAGGAAAAAATTGAAAGTAAACTTGGAGCTTTTTATAGCTTGTCAAACCACACAAGAGTGGGGGAAGCTTATCCATTTTGTGGACTAGATAGGCCAGTAGGAAGTAATTCCAATTTGGATAATGACAATTGCTTAAATTCTACCATTTTGAATGAATCAAAATGGGTTTTTTTCTCCCTTATGGCAGTTTCTGCTTAAGTTTCTCTAACACATCTGTAAATTTCCATTAAGAATAGGAAATTGGTAAATTGTGATTATGTTAGGAGGAAAATGGCAGCTTAGTTAGGGGAAATATGAAAAGATAGAGAGGGACTATTGGAGAAAGTCATTTGCGCAGTAAGAGATTTTCATAGAAGGGCTATTGTGAAGGCAGAGGCAGCAAGGGGGGGGGGAGTGGGGCGGTAAGGGGGCCTTTTAGGAAGATGACGGTTCTGTCTGTGAGCATACTCTCTTTCATTTTTAAAACTATGATAATCGTAAGACATTTATCTCAAGCAAGATAAAGTCAAGAGCTCTCATAACTTCAGGGAACAGAACCTTGAATTTTCACATCCTGCCAACACCATGAATAACTATGCCTGGAATTTTGTTTTTGTAACTATGTTGTTTATTTTTCAGTACCTTTAACATCGCTGGCCTCAAATCCAGTGGGCTTTTGGAGTGGAAGGACTTCTACCTTTTACTTCTGTATAAATTTTTAAAACACCTCAATTAAGATAGAGTTCACATAGCATTAACCCTTTAAAGTAAACAATGAAATGGTTTTTAGTATATTCACAGAACTGTGTGACTATCGCCATAGTTGCTCTTAGAACATTTTCATCATCCCTCAAAAAGAAACACCTCTTTGTAAACTTTTAAAGCTGAGATTTTGAACCCTGGAGGTTATTTTGAATTTCAGACTTTTTTTTTTAACTAATCTGCCAAAGTTGTGGTTGTTATACACGTAGAAAGATGTGTCTTTCATTGGGATGCTGCCTTATAAAGCATTAACTCATTACTCTGGGGAGGTAGCTTGATAGTAGAATGCTTGCCTAGCTTAGGCAAAGCCCTGGGTTCTGTTGTGAAAAAGCGAACAAGCAAGCATTAGTTTAGTGTTAACTTCCTATCCAAGCCAGCATTTTCTCAGCCTGGTATATCAGCCACCTGTAGAGGCTCTGCTCTCCCTAGGCCCACTATGTCCCATAGTGTAGCAGAGCCCTTGAATTATGGCGAGTCCAAAGTGACACACGTAAAATATATATGATTTGAGAGATTTAGCTTGGAAAAAAAAACCATAAAATTTTCCACTACTTGGGCTGGGGGTATAGCTCGGGGGTAGAGCACTTGTCCAGCACATGCAAGGCCCTGGGTTCAATTCCTAGCACTGAAAAGAAAAAAAAAAAGGAAAAGAAAACTTGTATGTTGAATATATGTGAAATGACAATATTTTCAGTAGATTGAGTTAAATGAAATGTATCAAAATTGGGCCGGGGATTTAGCTCAGTGGTTTCGCCGCCTGCTGCACAAGCGCAAGGACCCAAGTTCAATCCCCGGTACCAAAAAAAAAAAAAAAAGTAAAATTAATTTTACCTGTTTAATTTTACTTTTTTTGTTACTTTCACTTTATTGGTTATTTTGTTTTTGGGTTTTTTTTTTTTGAGACAAGATCTTGCTCTGTAGTTCATGCTGGCCTTGAATTCACTATGTAGCCCAGGCTGGCCTCAAACTCTGAGTGATCTTCCTGTCTCAGCCTCCCGAGTGCTGGAATTACAGGTGTGCACCACCATGGAGGGCTTTATTTTTACTTTTTAATATGCGGCTGCTGAAACATTTCAAACTTTGTAGTTAGTTGGCTTTGTTCTGTTGGCCAGAACTGGTGTGGACAGCATGGGTGTGAAGTCATCGCCCTCTGCTGGAGAAGATGTTAGGTTTTTAATTCCACTTTCTAGAGCCTCTTAAGCAGTAATTAATGCCAAACTCCTGCCTCAGGAAAAAATCAAAAAGAAAGACTTTAAATGTATTAAATACCTCTCATGTGCAAAAGCTCCTGCTGGACGCTTCACACACATTTATCTCATTTAAACCAGAAGTCTTTGCTAGAGTCCTATCTACATTTGAAAGACGATAAATTAAGAATGAGAGAGGTACTAAGTGGTAGAATGTGAATTTAAATTATTTAAATTTAAATTCTGGTCTCTCTACAAACTGTCTATCATTAAGATGCCGTTTTCCTTCCTTCTCCTCCTCCTCTTTCTCCTCATCATCAGAGATACTAGCATTTGAAGAGCTCTGACCATGCTGCTTTCTGCCATTCCCAGAGCCTAACGTCTACATCTCATCACATCTATTACGGTTGACCGAGGTCACACAGTCAGTAAGGGGCAGACCCTGGGAGGCCATCTTGGCAGCTTTGTCCCCAGAGCCAACCCATTTTGGGCACTTGGTTCCTAGACCAAACCTTATAACCTACACTCAGGAACCACCGGGAAGACTGTGATAGAGGAGTCATCCCAAAGAGAGGGAAGGAAGAGAAGGCAGACAGCTAAAAGTAGAATATTTGCTTTCTTTCCTCATTAGAGTCTTTTAAATGTTTATATTTCAGAGGAATCTTGTATATTCCAGTGATGTAGAAAAAGAAAAAAAATCACCAAAGATTATACCACCAGTCATTTTTGTGTATTTTGTCCCATTTTCCCCAAAATCTTATTTATGTTGTTGAAACTAATATGTAGACAAAGTGGTATTCTGATTTTTTTTTCTTTTCAGTCATTTTTATTTAAAAAAATTTGGGGCTGCTGGGGATGAAACCTAAGGCCTTGTACACGCTAAGTATATGCAGTCCCACTGAGCTACACCCCAGCTAACCCATTTGTAAATACAAGTTTTCTTGTGCTGCTACATAGCCTCTTCCATTTATAGCAACTAATTTTTTTTTTTTTTGATACCGGGGATCGAACTTGGGACCTTGTGCTTGCGAGGCAGGCACTGGAACCACTGAGCTAAATCCCCAGCCCTATAGCAACTAATTTTTAAAATCATTTAGTTAATATCCTGTCATAAGTGAGTGCCTTGTGATTTATCTGAGTGATTCCTGTTGTTTTGTGCTGGGCTTTAGAATCACCTTGGGGAACTGCCTGAAGGGTGGTACAGTGTTTCTTACCACCAGCCTCCGGTCCTTGGTAAACTGAGTCATGGAGAATGTATTTCATGAAATAATTAAGGCTTTCCTGTGTAATCACAGAATACTAGATTTGGAGACTTTTCTGTAGATATTAAAAGAATTGGCAAGAAACTTGACCATTCCAATCTTGCTGTCCGTCTGTGAGCAGAGGAATCTTGTTCTTCTGAAATCTAGATACAGAGAAAGAGAATGATTGTTGATGTACTTTTCTTCCCTAAGAACACCATACAGCTCCAAACAAGACTGGGGCCTCTGCAATGCTTTGGGTGGTTCTCTTTCCTTTTTTTTTGAGACAAGGTCTCACTATGTAGCCCAGGCTGGCCTTGAACTTGCAGTGATTCTCCTGCCTCAGGCTCCCAAATGCTGGGATTACAGGTGTGTGCCACCATGCCCTGCTCATCTCTGCAAAAAGAGGCAGACTTTGGGGTCCTGGGTCCTCCACTTAGCACCTTTGTGACCTCAATTTTCTTTGTGTAAAGTGGAGCTAATAGCATAATAAGAATGATAGTTAATATCATCGTTTACTATACTCTTGGGCACTAAGTGCAGTGTCAGGCATGCTTTACCTGCATTTTCTCATTTAATTCTTATGATAAACTTCAGATACTATTGGACCTTCATTTTACAGCAGGGATTCAGGAATGTAAAGGTTTCTTAACTGGCCAGTAGAAGAACCAACCTGGACTTCACTGCAGGCAGCTGACTCAAAGCCTATTCCAACCCCTTGAACTTTCTGTTACTTCATTGGAGTGTAATGAGAAGAACAAGCAATGTAGTAAAAAAAGGGTGGGGCAGCAAGTGCAGCTGTTATATTAATGGTCATAAGACCTGTCCATGTTTTACCTGCTAGCAAATTTAGGGTCTATCTATTATCTATAAGAACTCCTAAGGGGAGATGATTAGAAACCTGGTAAGTGATACTCACTGCCCATGTGGGTTTCTTGTTTGCACAGGTTATCCTATGCGGAAAGCCAGGTATCAGTGGGTTCGCTGCAATCCCCACAGTAATTCTGCAAACTGCATTGAAGAAAAGGGACCACTTTTCGACCTGCCTACAGATGAATCCAACAGGATCCTCCCTCCAAAAGCTGACCCTTATTTGTAAGTGGACTTTTCTCTGATTTCAGTGACTGTAATTTTTTTCTTTTTCTTTTTTTGTTTTTTGGTACTGGGGATCAAACTTGGGACCTTGCACCTGCGAGGCAGGCGGCGGAACCACTGAGCTAAATCCCTGGCCTCTTTTTCTTTTTTTTTAGAAAGGGTCTCATTGTGTAGTTCAGGCTGGCCATGAACTCACTATGTAGTCCAGGCTGACCTCGAACTCACAGCAATCCTCCTGCCTCAGCCTCCCGAGCACTGAGATTACAGCCGTGTGCCACCATGCCTGGCAATGTCTGTAACTTCACAGCCTCTGTTCAAATCTTGGTATAGAGATGGGAGGACCATCCAGAGTGCTTTTCTTCATGCTTCTGCTTTGGTAGTTTGGGTAAAACTGTACCATGTCTGCTGGCAGATAAGGTGTGAAAATATACATGATTTGTCTCTGGTTTTGCAAGTTTTTATTGTGGGTGGCAAAGATGAGCATTAAGTACTTTTCACTAACAGGTATTGAAAAAGATTAAAGATTGTTTTATTTATAAAAAGTGTATTATATATCAAAATTCATTTTATTGCATAAACAGTATATTACGTATTAAAATCCAGTAAGAGTCTATCAAGCGAGTGAATAAATAGGTGTGGCATATCAACACAATGGAGTATTTGACCGTAGAAAGAATGAAATACCGATACATGCTACAGTGTAGATGAACCTTGAAAACATTAAGCAGAGGGAAAGAAGGCGGGTACAAAAAGCCACATATTATTTAATTCCATTTAGATGAAAGGCCCAGAATAGGCAAATCCCTAGAGGCAGAAAGTAGATTAGTGGTTGCATGGGGCTGGGAAGAGGGAGGAATGAGTGACTGCTCCAGCTCTTTTTGGAGGTGTGGTTGGTCAAGTGTTCTGAAATTAGATAGTGGTGATTCAAAATCACACAGAGAATGCATGGATTGCTGAAAACTCTAATGGTTTATGGCTTGTTTTTATGGAGAAAATGACCCACAGGCTGTGACACTGACCCTTTGTCTCTTGACATTTTGTGCCCTCATCTGTCGAGGGGAGGTGGCATCATCGCTCTGGTCTTTGGTGTCCCCTGAACTCTAACCAGCACATTCAAGTTGAATGCAGTAGCCTCATCCTTCAGCACCTTCAGCTCCTCAGTGCAGATGTGTATGTGTGTGTGTGGGGTATTAATATGTTTGTTTTTTAAAAAAACTGAATGGTGGGCCGAGGATGTAGCTCAGTGGTAGAGCACCTGCCTGACAATTGTGAGGCCCTGAGTTTGATTTCAGGTACAAAAAAAAAAAAAAGAATGGTAATGTACTGGTAAAACTAATGCTTCACTTGGCACAAAGAATATCTCAGGAGTGAGCTTTGTTGAAGCATTGCAAATTATTAGAAGTTTTATGGAAATTTCTAGTTATGAAAAAATGTCATCTGTCTAGGCTGGCTTAGTTGTTTGTCCTTTAGGAAGAAAATGAAAAAAAAGGATCTTTTTTTAAAAAAAGTAAAACTAGCACTATTCATCTGAATCTGCACTAGGTAACGTGCACTCGGAAAGGGCAGTGAGTTTGGTGTAAGAAGTATATGTGGACACTTGGGTTTGAATTTGTTTTTTGGTTTAAAGCATTGAATAATTTGGAAGCCTTTAGCTCTTTCAATTTGAGCAACGGGGTGGCTGCATTTATTTCCTTATTCTAAACATATCATCATTAAATTCCTTATGAATCAAACTTTATACTTTGTTTTCCTACTTCAGGATGCCAAAATTCCCAAACTTGAATGATGTCTTCCCTCTTTCCGAGGACTATTCTGGATCTGGCTCTGGATCAGGATCAGGATCAGGATCAGGATCTGGGAGTGGCTCTGGAAAGGAATACTCCACTGAAATGGAACGGGACTATCAACCAATAGATGAAAATGATGTTTTCTATTACAACTTTAGGTCTCTCAAGAAGAATCTGCCCTCAGACAACCAGGCCTTGGGACAAGATGGCACAGAAGAGAATTTTATTATATAAAAGTTATGGTTTCCCCATCTTGACACCAGGCAATGTATTCAGTATATTTTGTGCACCATGGTTAAATGATTAGTCTTGGGAAAAAGAGTTTTATAGAAAATTTAAAACACCTGAAAAAGAACTTTAATTTTTATCACCTCTTTTTTTCTTCATGTATTCCTAAAGGATTGTATTTTAATGCTATTATCTATTCTATTGTTCTGGAAAATACCTGCATATTTTGGTATCATATTTGACCAACATCACTGGGAAATTAACTAGACTTCCATGTCTATAAAACTGCTTTAAAGAAGAAAATCATACTTTTTAAAAAAAATTCATTTTGAGGAGCAAGCTGATTGGCAGTATTTCATACCTATGTCTTTAGCAACCTGACTCTGATTGTGAATTACAGTAATACCCTTTTATTTATGATAAAGAGATCAAATATAGTGAATTTACAGATTGGGTATTTGACATGGTTTACAGTGTGAAGGGGTCTTACTATACTATTACCATTGGATTTGTTGAGAGCTAGTTGACATTTTTAACAAGAAGCATGATTGCTATTAGAATTAGAAACTTAAGACCCTAATTAAAGGATAGTTGTGGTCTCAATACCTCATACTTTACTGCTTTACCCTGCTTTCTTGAATATCTATTTTCAAATGTTGCTCTATTAAAGCAGAAGTATAATCAAAGAAATATTAACCTGTCTGGGAATTCTTGTTCTAAACTTAAGAAATAATTATTTCTCATCAGATGTTTCTCTAGAAGTCTTTTTTTTTTTTTTTTTGGTACCAGGGATGGAACTCGGGTCCTTGTGCTTGTGCAGCAGGCAGCGAAACCACTGAGCTAAATCCCTGGCCCTAGAAGTCTTAACAAAACATATTTATTTGTTTATTTTTTATTTTTTCCATTACTGGGGATCGAACTCAGGACCTTGCACTTGCCAGGCAGACATGGTGCTGCCGAGCTACATCACCAACCCAAACAAATCATCTTGAAATTGTGGCTTCCTTCATAGTGGGAGCAGATGGTGGTTAGGTACTCAGCTGGAGTCTTGACCTAGGTCTGGCTCACAGTGGTCATTTTTCCAGTCCCTAAACATAAAATTAAATGGGCAGGCTTGGTGATTAACACAACACCCACACCGATTTCTGGACCTGTGTAATAGAAGCTATTGCGATGGAGAAGAACAGCTGGAAACTTCTGTCCCCCTCCCTATGTACCAGTAAATACAAAACAATATTTCATCCTAGGAGAATTTTAAAGGTTAGTAGCACCTTTAAAAACCTAAAGAATACAATGATGCTGGTGCCCAGTGTGTCTCTATTTCATTTACCAGTCTGGGCCTTAAAAACACCAGATGGATCCTAGAGGGTGACACTGGATGATCACAAGTTCAGCTGGGTTGTGGTTCTATCCACACCAGCTGCACCTTTTTGCTAGAGTAGAGTTATGCAGCCTCCGGTAGATTGCAGGCAGTCACTGATCTGGCAAATGCTTTCTTTTCTATACTTATCCCGCCTTGCAAAAAGAGACGATTGCCTTCATGACTTTCCTCATTGCAGAGACATAATACCTGACACCCACAACTCTAAGGAAGATAGGTTTATTTTGACTCACAGTTTGTAGAGGTTTCAGTTTATAGTTGGCTGGCTCTGAGGCAGGGTGGCATGGCACAGGAGAAACAGCTCATGGTGTGGCATTAGGAAACGGAGAGACATCAAGGGAAGAGGGAGAGAGATAGACCCTTCTAGGCAACGCCCCCAGTGACCCACCTCCTCCAACCAGGCTCCACCTCTCAACATCACATTTAGCTATAAACTCATCAGTGGACTGAACCACTGATGAGTATCACACCTGTGATCCAGTCACCTCCCTAAAGCCCCTCCTATGAGTGTATGAGTCTTTGGGGGATCATCTAGCTATAAACCATCACAAGGACCATAAACAGTTTCCACTGTCTTGGAACAAAGAGTATACATTTATAGTCTCTCCCCAGAGCTAGACTACCTGGACAGCTCACTAAAATGTCACAGTGGTCCACTGTATCGATAGATCATGAGCCTCTATCCAGACTCCCATGTTCTCACCCCTGATGCGTTGTCTCTCCCTTAGCCCACATCTGTGGCCACATGGAAGGCTCCTTATGACCAGCTGACAGAGTAGGAATAAATTCCAGCATGCTGCACACATAGATCATTCTGGTACATAGTAGGAGCGAGCCGAAAATGGATGACAGCTGCTACAGTGCTCATCAGGAGTGGCCTTGAAAAACAGCCGAGAGAGGGAATCCTCCCAACAGGCAGGCTTCAGGTGATATTCCTGGTCACCTCTAGTGTGGGAAGAAGAGCAGCCTGAGGCCAGGATATATACAATTTTATGGACAGTGCCAATGTATTGTTGAGATCAGGAGCCTAAAACAAATGAGAAGATCAGTGGCTAAAAAGTCTGGAGTAAAGACATGGGTCTGGACCAGTGAGAGAAGTCATAAAGTGGGACAGTCTTTGTACCAAATGTTTATGCCTATTAGAAAGCATCCATCTAATCACAGAAGAGCAGTAAATAACCACATAGGCAAAATGACTTGGGCAGATGCCAGCCCATGCTATGCTAGTGAGCACTGAGCTCATGATGTGGCAGAGGTGGAGGCTGTGCATGGACTCTCACTCTCCATATAGTTATTGACATTGCCAATTGTTCAATATGCCAGCAACAGATTTCATTGCTGAGCCACTGATAGGGCATCATCTTTTAAGGAGACTGACTGTATTAGTCACTTTCCTGTCACTGGGACAAAATACAATTGACATCTACAACTTAAGGAATATTGACTATATTTGACTATCTTGGTTTCAGAAGGTTCAGTCCATGCACAGTTGGCTGGCTCCAAGGCAGAAATGGTATAACGCCTGGCAGAAGAAAGCTGCTCCAGGAAGCAGAGAGCTAGAGAAAGAGCCAGAGTGAGAGATATACCCTCCAAAGGCATGCCCCGGTGACTGGACTCCTCTAACCAGGCCCCACCTCCTCGACCAGGACATTCAGCTGTGAACTCACCAGTGTCCCTATGATCCAAGAACCTTCTAGAACCCCTGCCTCTGAACACATGAGACATTTGGGGGACATTTTAGACCTAAACTATAACAGAGACCTTGGTGGCAAGTTGATCATAATAAGTCCCTTCTATCCTGGAAATACAAGGGATTTATTCTAAAAGGCATGTATTCCAGGTGTAGGTTTGCCATTCCTGCCCACGAGGTCTCTGTAAGCATTAATATCTAAGGTGTACAGTGTCTGATTCATCAACAGGATTTGCCTCCTGCCATTACAGCAAGGATATGCAGCAGTGGGCACACCACCATGGGACCCACCAGTTCTGTCATACACCTATGTGCCATTTACTTGACAGAGTGGTGGAAGGCATGGCTGAGACACAAGCTTGAATATGATACACTGAGTTTGAGACACCAATCTCCAGGACGAATAACTTTTGTGTGGTGCTATGTCCTTAATAGGTAGAATACTTGGATCGAGGGACCACAGGGGAAATGTAGGAGAGGACTCAGCTTGCATCAAAACCTATTTGAGAATTTGTGCTTCCCATCACTGCAACACTGTTTTATAGATTTAGATACTGTAGATGTTATGGTTCCACTGGGGGAATGTTTCCATACAAGTCCTACTGAATATCAAGAATGGCACCTTAAGTTCTTTGTGCCAAGGGTTGACAGTCAAGAAGAGGAAGGGGCCATGTTGGTGTGTGTGTGGGTGACTGACTTGACCATCAAGGGGAAGCAGGGCTGCTGCTATACAGTGGACAGCTTAGGCTTCTCTTAGTAATTAGTTTAGATTGTAAGTGTACACATTCACCATGGGCTCAGATCCTTGTGTTGGAAGGTCAGAGTCAGCCCTCCAACTAAGCCATCATGATAGCAAGTGTGAGAAACAAACAGGAAGTACCAGTGGAGGAGGAGTTTGACAAGTACCAACTGTAGTCATGGTAGGAGCTGCAGTGGCAGTAGCTTATACTTCATTCTGCTGGCCTTCCGCTCATCAGTTTCCCTGAGAAAGAGCCCTCCAGTTCCTGAAGGAACTGAAGTCACATGAAGCAACTGGATCTGACTGGAGCAAGGCGGAGCTGGTATGGGCACTGTGATTGTTCTCAGACAGCCCCTCCTTCAGGACTGGAGGACTTTTTCCCCACAGCTCTGGGAAGGCTGGCTGACATTTGTGGGCCCTTAGATGAAGAGAGCCACCTCAGCCAAGGTCCTGTTCCCTTCTCTGGAGAGCTCACAAACAACGCCTTCTCTCTATGGGGATGAAGGCTCACATCACAGGCTCCACTTTCAACAATGCTGAATGAAGACCTCAGTTTCTGAATGCTCAATGGGGCCAGCTGAAGCCTTCATTACACCACAGCTCAATTTATTTCTGGGCAATTTGGCTTCCTTCTAGTCCTGTACAGGTGTTGAGCCCCAAGTCACTCCTTAATAAACGTTCCCCATTTCATTCTTCATCTCAGATCCTGCTTCTCACAGAACCCAACTTACATTTTATTCTTAGTGCCAACTGTTAAAACATACCCTGGTCTTTCCATTAATAAATCTGTTATAGGGCCGGGGATTTAGCTCAGTGGTTCTGCCGCCTGCCTTGCAAGTGCAAGGACCGGAGTTCGATCCCTGGTAGCAAAAAAAAAAAAAAAAAAAAAATCTGTTATTATTCAACAGGAACTTAGTCAGCTTTTATGCCCAATAAATTATTATTGTCCCGAGATCTAATTTTGACTCCTGTAATTATTATAATATAGCAGCAAAAATAAGGCATGTTTTAGAAAATACACGTTACTTTTATTCTCTAGTTAAGTGCTAGGTTTTACACACTTAAAAGGGGAGGCAGGTGATCTAAATTGAAGATATAAAAATGACATTTTTCTTAAGAAAGAGCTTAAGAAATGCAAAGTACTTTTATTTTCTTGTGGTTATTGTTTCTAACTTAAATGCATTTAAATATTTATTTTGGGTCATGGTTCTGGTCCAAGATTGAGGGGCTGCCTCTAATTATGAACTTCTTGCCAACAGTCCCAAGGCAGGGCAGGGGGCCCATGGTGAAGACAGGGAGAGTATGGGTGTGCATCTACCAAGCATCACTATCTTTGGAGAGGTGATTAGCCTGGTAGAAAGAGAATAAATTGGGCCGGGGATTTAGCTCAGTGGTCTCCCTGCCTGCTGCGCAAGCACAAGGACCTGAGTTCGATCCCCAGTACCAAAGAAAAAAAAGAAAGAGAATAAGCTTTAGAATTGTAAAGTTCTGGCTTAAGTGCAAGTTTCGCTCTGTGTAGGATCGTAATTTTAGACAGGTGAGCTAATTTAGCTAAGCTTGTCAAGGGACAACAGTGTGGTGATGGAGTTGATCTGGGTGTAAACCTTGGTGATTTACTAAGTAGAGAAACTCAGATAAGTTATTTACCTTCTCTGTCTGTTTCCTCCTTATTAAAAGGAGAACAATGATCATCCTACCTTGTAGTTTTGTTGAGATGATTAAATAAATTAATATATATAAAGTGCTGGGGCAATGCCATTGGGTGAGTGGGCAAAAAACAGGAGTTACTATCAGTCTCCTGTACTACAGGTTATTGATGCTTGCCCTCAGGGTTGTGGGGAAAATTAAATGGGGCAATGTATGTGCTATGGTTAGCTGAGTGT